TAATGAGCATTTTTTAAGACTCCATACTAAACTTTACAAAAGAATATCTTTAATATTGTTATTTAACATATATTTTATATATAAAAAAGATTAAGTTAATTAACAAAGAAAAAGAAGGACATGTAGGAAATTAAGGAGATGATATTTGACATACATATTCTTTAAACAAGAAAGAAAAAGTTGTGAAAATTTCTTTGTCTACTTCAAAAAACTTTACACCAAGTTCTTGCAACATATTTGTGTATAAACTGCATTAAAATTTCATTTAAAATATCTTACAATTACTTAAATTAAAGAGGTTATATAAAGAAAAAATTATATGCTTACATTGAAAATAGTTCTACCTTAGGATAATTTAGAAGTACATATAGTGTGCAACTTTATTTCTCTTTCTTCTAAAATATAAGATGAACATTTTTCTAAAAGGATGTCTCACATAATTAAAAATATCTATTGGTAGTGTAGTTGAACAAGTTTGACCATCGTCATCATTTCGTGACACTCTTATTCTCCTACATGGAATATTAGGCAGATAATAGTATAATGCAAATATATACATCTTTTCCACTAAATAAGATTCACAAATGAAACTTTCAAATATAACTTTATTTGTGACATTTTCTTTTAAGATATAAATAAACCTAATAAAATTGACATAATACATTATGACAAATGTTGCAATCATATTTAAATTGAAATGAAAAAGAGAAAAAATAACTCAACCTTTTAAAAGAACATCCACAGGACTATCAATCCTAGTTTAAAAGGGTATAAGGATTGGAAGGTGCTCCATAAAGTCAATTTTATAAGCGTGTTTTGCATGAGCTTTGGTAAGATTTTAAAAGCAATTAGAAGCAAAAATTGTATAAACATATAACAATCACGACTTTTTATTTCAAACAATTTTACCTCCCCCATATCAACACACCTAAACAAGTTGGATGCATATCCATTTAACAACTTTACTTTGTATTTTTTCAATTTTCCTTGCCTATCATCATGCAACATTAGATCTTTTCTTCTACAAATTTTTGCCAAGTCCATTCTTGATTTAAAATGATCTTTTGTCTTTTTCTTGATATTTATAATTGCGTGCAAAATGTTGAGAAATACATTTCTCTCAATATATTTGACATTTAAATTACAAGAGAAAATATTTGATTGTTAATATGGCAACTCCAAAAAGATGATTCGTTTGGTTTAATTATGAGTTTTTCTATACCTTTCAAAATCATCTTCTTTTTGTTTTATCATTTTAGTCATGTTAGATAAATCTTTAACCTTTTTCCACATTTTTTCACTAATCAACCTTAGTGGTGGCAAAGATCTCTCTTTGTGTCTATTTATAAATGCATTTTTATTTCTCCTATAAGGATGATCAAATAGTAAGAATTGGCAATGACAATAAAAAAAATGACACCTTATTATGATTGTTAGAAAACATGGTTTGCAAGAAAAAAAGAAATAAAGATTGAACATAATATGAAAAATATATGGATTACAATAGCAAATAAAAGGATGACTTACAAGCGTAATAATATGACTTATACAGCCAATTAATTATCTATTTAACATAACTATTAACTAACTTTTATACTTTTTACAGCCCTTAGCAAACTGAAATATTAATATATCAAGCCTGGATTGAGGGATACAAATGATACATATAATGAACATTGTTGAAAATATTACCAAGTTAACAAATAAAAAATCATTGTGTAACCACTGTAAAAGGCAGAAGCTACAAATGCTTAACCACTATACATAAGTTTCACTCGTTGTGTAGTCATCTAGTAGAAACAAACATCATCATCAACAACAAAGAAATGCTTAACCACTCAAACTAAAGATACCATAATTTCTTAACCACTTGGTAGAAATAAGAAAAAAATAATAAAAAAATCAAATCAATAAATACTTGGTGAAAAAAGATAAATAAAGCACAAATGTGACCATGAATCAAGTTTAATGAGACTCTCTCATCTATACCAAGAAGAGAAACAACAATCACGAATACTTATATTTCCTATGTTGAAGCAAGTATTGACAAAAATCTCGCTATTCCTTAATGATAACATGCAACCAATAACTTTTCAACAGTGCATGCTCTATGCGGCCAAACATGACAATCACGCAGTGAAGTACCCCCTGGCCATTACTCCTCCGTTGGCTCCGTTGGAGTCTCCATAATCTTGAAAATGTTGATGCTTTGTTGAAACTTAGATTCCCAAGAGAACTTTAAGGGCTCTATACTAGACTATGACAATCTTGTAAGTGTAGCTCTTGAGAGGAATGATAAAGGCATGATTAGATCACTTTTGTACATAATTAAATTGATTTAGATCACTTTTGCTATTTGTGTCTTGAATAGGCCTTAATTCAATTATTTTAGCATATCGCATATTCTGACATTGTTTAGTATTTGAATTATAACTTGGACTCTAAACTTCATTTTAATGTGATTTTTGTGTTGTAGGAAATCTAAGAGATGAAGCTATAACTATTATGAAAAAATCAAAAGAAAATTTTGAGATTTAAGGTTGCAGTAAAAAATGTCATGGCTGTGGCAATGAGCAACAACACCCTTGTAAAATTGAGAGAATAAACTTTGAATGAGAGAGAAAAGAAGAAGACAAGAATTGGTACCTTTGCATTATGAATTGATGAATTTTGTGAATGTATTCAAAGACAAGATAGAGAATTGACTTTGATAAGGGATTAGAGGATGCGACTTGTGATTTTGAACTAGAGTGAATGCAATGAAAAACTTTAAGAAAAAAAATAAAAAGATTGTCGTGGACAGTTCTTATGAAGAGTGTCATCACTCTAATGCTATGTTAAAAAAACATAATTTGTAAGACAAAAAGAAATAAAAACTTGAACAGAACACGAAAAATATATTAATTACAATGGTAAATAAAAAGATGATTTACACAAGTAATAATATGACTTATATAGCTAACTAATTTTCTATTTGATATAATTACTAACTAACTTTTATATTTTTATAATGACAAGCTATATTGATTTTGTAGATTTGATACAAATTGGACAAGCAAGATTTTTCGTCGCCATCTAACTTAATAACATCTCGTATGCAAGAAAGTCTTTAAGTCTATAACAAGCAAACTTTGATTACAAAGTTTTGTTTCAATGAGAATCATATGTTATAATACCTTATGTCCATAAAACTTTGAGATAATCTACAAATGGACTGCAAATATACATCAATTTGTTTTCTTTTTCCTTTTTTGGATATGTAGGGTCATAGATTATAATAGTAAAAAAAATAGGAACTTTCTTCTCATCTTTAATATCTTCCTACGTGATAAATTTTTTCTCTCACATAAAAATTTGGTTTAGCTCATTACTAAAATGTTGTTGATCTTATCTTGCGTATATTTGACAAAGAGATTGACTTACCAAAAAAATTAGCGTAAAGAATGGTGAACCAATTTTTTAATTTCAAAATATATTCTATTTGAATCTTTGTCTTGTTTTGTTGTTTATTTGACTTATATTTACTTTTCTTTCATGTCTACAAGGAGAGAAAGTTATGAAGTTATGACTCTATTTTTTCTTCTTAACAAACATTGAAACAAGATGGACACAAAGGTAACAATGAAAGCACAAATGAATGAGAATGAGACAATTAAAATAGAGATTTAGGGTTGTATTTTTAATTTGATTTTAAACTTTAATTTATATAAAAATTTACATAATATGATAGTTTTAAATTTAAATAAAATTAAAAATTAAGAATTATGATTATATTTCATAATAGAGAATTTTAATTATATTTTTATTTAAAATTTATCATTTTATTAAATTTTATAACGGACTTTTTAAAAGCTTGGATTTGATTTTTCATAAATGGGTCAAATTAATTTTTTTTAATAGTTATTATATTTAGCTCTAAATTATTCGTAACCTTTCTTCTATTTTTAACTATAAAATTATTGTATTTTTTAAATTTATTAGAGTTAAAGTTAACTGTTTTTTATATCAAGTTTATTAAACTATCTTTATTATAAATTTATTTTTTACACAAAATAATTTCTATTTTCTTAACATTTTACATATTTTTATTTTTTGTTATTAATATCTAAACAATGAAAATGTTAAAATAAAATTTAAATTATATAACTAAAATGAATTATAATTTTATATCTTTAAAAAATATATTAAGAGATGGTTCATATTGTTGTCATAAAAATCACTATCACCTACAAACCTGAAATAAAAAAGTTTCTCGAGTTTATAGCACATTGGGAGATGGCAGTAATTCCATTTGTCCAACCCCAATTCCTACCCTTTTAATGTGAAAGTGTCATACCCATTGATTCCCACTACCATCATCAACAAAGGAAAAAAATGGAGAAGTGATCATGAGGTCACAAAAAAAATGCCATCACACCTTACTCTCTTTTATGCCATGGTTCAAAGCTACCTTACGCTTGTTCTTTTCTTCTGAGGGAGTGCAGTGATTATGATTGCTAATAGAGAGGGAAATGGTAGTAGGAAGCGGTGGTAGTGCATTCAATTTCCAAGAAGAATGCGGAGAGAGTAGGGAGAAGGAGAGAAGGTTACGAAGCTTGTCTTATAAATAAAAGGCAAATATTCCTTCATGGTTGTTTTTGTGAGGATGGTTCAGGCATTACATTTCCATTCTATCACCCACTTCATTGTCCTGATTCCTTCCATGCAGAGATTGTGCTTTGAAATATTGGATAACTTTCTTTGATACTAACTTACTGCTTATTCTAACACAAAAAGAGAGAAACATGATGAATAGTACATAAACTTGAAGTTGAGTCTGATATGTGATAAAAAAGATAAATTTTTTAATAAAATTAATATTTTTAACATAAAAGATATATTTAAAATATTTTTAAAAAGTTAAAGGACTAAAAGTGAATAAAAAAAAGTAAAAGAATGAAATTGAAGTCAACTTTAAAGTTAGAGGATAAAATCATTAATTTTACCTAAAATATTTATATATATAATATATAAATACACTTTCTTCAGAAGGAAGGTTATACATGGAGAAAGTTATACATAACCAATGAATTAATTTCCATTCAAATGGTGTAGAACATTTTTTTTCTTTTGGGTCACCAAAGAAATAGCTTATTCTAAAATTCAAGGCCAAAGCATAAGGTTGAATTATGGTTTCCCTAGCTAACTTCACAAATTAGCATTGATGAAGTCTTGAGAGGACTAAAATGGAAGCTGAGGATGTGAGTACAGCTGCAGCGAAGCAAGCAAGATCAAGGCCTGTGACTAAGGGAATATCCTTGAACTTCTCTAGTAGTCCCACCTGAAGAATCAACATCACCGCATGCCCAATCCTTGACTTAGCCTGCGCAATCGATTGCATCCCTACCCACCGTGGGGGTAACTGAAAAATTCATTACATCACACAAAAATTCGTTAATGTACACAATATTGTATACTGTTTAATTTATATCTTACATATATAGTTAGGTTAAACATTATAGTCATGATGCGCGCATGCTTACCTTCATATAGAAGAGACCGAGCAAGTTTGATCCACAAAGTGATCGTGGTTGTGTTTCTTTACTAGCAGTCCTTAATCCCACAAACATGACGTACAAACCCATTCCAAAAATGAGCAAGGCATTTCCTACCAGGAACATGTCTGCACAAAAAGAAGATCGAACCCTCAGTCTATTAATTAGTTTGAGCAGAACATGCAATGAGAAAGTACATAAAGTAAACTCATAATTATTTTATGGACAAGTTCGAATTATAGTTCCATGCAGACCTATGGCTTCGATAAGTAGATGCACCAGATGTCCTTGCTCCAACCTTTGAGAGAACATTATATGGAAATAATGCGCGTATGATTCGATAACAAGAAGACATCCCTGCATTTACGAAGCCACGTGTTGTTCATAATTTTTTTTTTTCTTGTCTTCAAAAAGTAGTGGACAAAATCTATCTTCGTTAATATATACCTCAACGAAGTACAATACCGAGCCAAGTAAAGATCCTGCCACGGCGAACAACGTGAAAAATCTGCAATCGATTATTGCCTGCACCAGAAAACCATATCGATATTACCATATAATTACGTATCTCGTGTCGGCACTGAACCTTATCATAGAGGAACGCACATGCACTAGAACTCACAGTATTTTACACATGGCTATTTATGTACGTGCTAACACAAATTAACTATTGATCTGTAAATACATACACCATGACCATATATAAATCATAATGATCTTCTTTGTTGGCTTATATTAATTAGATCGCAATTTATTATCGGTTTGGACCGTGGTTTATGATAACGTCAGGTATCGACTAAATGCACCTAATTAGAATTTCCCCAATAATAGCTTAATATGCACAGAGTATGTATGTACACATAATTCATTCCTATCTCAAATCATTCTTGTGGCTAAACTTAGTTCTACCCAGTAGCTATTTTCAAGATTTTTCATATACCATATTCTTCCTGAACATTATTATCAATAAAGTTATTAATGGTGTGACTTAATAGAAGTACTAGTAAAGAACAAATATGAACAAATTATATAAGTACATACCTTTTCAATGAGCATTTGCGGGTGTAAATTCCAAGGCTTGCTTTTGAGAGCAGACCGTAAAAGAACGAAAATAGCATTGCGAATACTTGCCAATAAAGCAGCTAAATCTGACAATCCTTGGGGAACCACTGGTTGTGATGAGGTTATTTGGTCGGTGGTAGCCATCGATGCCTTCAGGGCCGCCACAGGTAATTTTCTTTCTCCTTTGGAAGAAGCTATGGTGTGATCTCCATTCAAAGAGGCTCTGCTTTGGTACCATACAGATTTCATGAAGGAAGAAGCAGAAGGAGGAGGAGGGAGTTGAATTGGCCTAGAGGAACGCAACAATCTAGTGGTTGCCATTCACAATTGAATTAAATTTGGTCCAATCTATTCATTTAGCATTTAGTGGAATCAAAGGTGTGTGTCTTAATTTATATAGCTTGAATATATGATATGCATGCATCATGCATACGAAAGAGACCGAAGATTCGAGGCATATATTTAGGTGAGTTTGGACTCACGCTGAACTTTCCAATGAACACAGAAACTTAGCGAATTCGCACATGTAATTTTCGCGTTTCTTCTTTCCAGAACGTGTGGGCTCCCTTTTGATTTCCAACGAACACGTGTCCCATTGGTATCTTTGAGGAACTTCAATTTGTACTCTCATTTTGACCAAACAAAAAAGGTGTACTTGGATATCCAGGTTTGCTTCAGGAGGAGCAGTAATCCCAATAAGAATTACTTTATTTAATAAATTTTTAAATATTAAATTTTGTCAATTTAATAATTGAATTATTAATTTTTAAATAGATTAAATTAAAAACTATACAAATTTAAAATTAATTTGTTAACTTTATTTTAATATCTGATTAATATTTACAAAACAAAAACAAAAATAAATATTAAATAAAAATTATATATTTATAAACATTCGAATTATTTAAAATTTGATTGATCTTTACATTTATTTTGTCCGAATCATTTTTAACATTTTAAAAAGATAAGTCAAACATAGGGTATAAATATCTTTTTGAAGAAAGGAAAATTTTCAAGAAAGGTAACAAACGAACTATTCTGTTACGAAATTGAGTCATCAAATTTTTATGTAAAAATATCTTTTTAAATACTGTTTTCTCGTTGTGACTTTGATTTTATTATTATTTGTTGTTTATTTTTTTTATAAATTATAAATTATTTCAAATATTCATTTTATATTATTTTTCTTCAAATCTCAACTTTAATTATTTTTTACTTATATAATTGTATTAAATTTATCACCTCTAATTTTAATTACTTATACTCTCAAATTAAGTCCTTTGATTTTTTTAAATTTCACTTTTTCAATTATCTACATAAACTTAAGTTATTTAATTATTATTTTTACTTATTTATTTAAATCAATCATTCATATTTCTTATATATAATCTATACATTTTAAATTTTATTTAAATTAAAAAAAGCATATCAATAATGGGAGGACAAATCATATCAATATATTAAATATATATAAAATCATCTAATACGCTTTTTTAGTTTTATTTTTTACTATTATTTTCTTAAATATATTGAGAAAAGACAAATTCATGAGATCCAGTGCTTTTCTAACTCTCATGGAGCATTTGTTGTGTTGTGCTTCTCCTTGGTGGGAGCATAGCAGCCACTAAGCTGTATCTAAGACTTTGGTCATTTTTAGGGGTTTCCCAAGCCATTGAAAACTATATTGGATTTTTGTGTACATTTCTGCGCATGCTCTTCATGGACGACCAAAAATAGTAGTGCATTCATTTTGTGCAACCCACATGTGTTACCCTCATTATGTTAAGATGGTTCTGTTTAGTTTTTTTTTCTTCTTTTTCTATTTTTAAAATTATTTCAATTAAAGTGTTGTTATAGTGTTCATAAACTTGAGACGATATTATATATTTTCTTTAAATTGATAGTTGTGATTTTTCTCATATCTTACAGATTTAAGTGTATTTATATTTTTTTTAAATAAATTTTTAACCTTTCTATTTATTATTATAAAATTAATAGTAATAATTATTAAATGTCTATATGACAAAGCATAGTAGAAATTATATTTTATTTTATATTTTTTAAATTATATATTATTTATATTATTTAATACTTATTTTATAAAATAAGAGGAGCATGGTTAGAGGATCAATAAAGCTCTTTTATTGAGTATAACTATTTTTTTTTATTTTCTTAATATATATCTAACAACATACAATAAAAAAAATATATAATAAATTTTATTAAAAATTATATGACAATATAAATTGATAATATTAAATATTATAATTTAAAATTTTATTATGTACAGGTTGGGAGTTGTGTACTGCTCCACCGAACCCCTATGATCTGAGTACTTGACCAATCGTTCAAATAAAGGGAGGAAGTCTTATTACGATTTCTAGACTGATGGCATGTTTAGAAGTTTTTTTTTTTTTTTTCTCTTTCAGAAAAATTGTTGCTTATTTTTAAAATAGTTTTACTATAAAATGCACCCCATAGTTAGTGCATTTTTTTCACTGAAATAAAAGTGAAAAAAATATACTAACAGATCACAAATTGGGAATCACATAAATTGAGAATAATACAATATATATATATATAAATGCAAAATTGTAAAGTGAAAATGGAATATATTGAATAAGAAAGGGAGAGGTAGACGCAAGAATATATATGTAAAATTGAGCATTAAGAAACGTAGTTATATACTACTTCTTTTCACCTTCCCCTTCCAGAAGTCTTCATTTGTTGATGGCTCCTGTCTTTAGTGTAATGTGTTGTTTTTTGTTTGTTTTAATTATGGTATGTTGCCATTCATAATAATGAACTGGTATTATTATGAATGGTATGTTGCCATTCAGAAGTCTTCATTTGTTGATGGCCATGATTTGATAGAAAGCGTTTGAGAAACTCATATTGTGAAATGTCATTTCTTCATTTGTTCGTAATTAAAAAAAAAATGTTAACTTTTATGTGTTGTAATTATACGCCTATATATTCAAAATTTGAATGTTAATAATGATCACTGAACCAAATTACAATTGAGGAGAGTGTGAAAAGAGACCTGCAGAAATCTGGTTAGTTCTGGCTTACCCATGAAGGCCAAGGGATGGTATCATTGGAACATATTTTTGAGAGTATTGGTTATCCTCATTTTATTTTCATTTCTATGGGATATAATATAAAACTATTGGGATCATATATATATATTAAAGAGTTAAAAACATATCATAAAAAATATATGGCTTTCTAATCGTTAAGATAGAAAAAAAGAATACGGAAATGTAAGATAATGATCATAAAAATGGGCTTTTGAACCCGACGTGAATCGAACACGCAACCTTCTGATCTGGAGTCAGACGCGCTACCATTGCGCCACGGATCCACTTGTTGACAAATATGGACAAATAAACAATTTAATTAAGCTTTACAAGTCTCAACCACCACTTTTTTCATCGTTTCAAAATAATAATATAAAAATGTAAATAAAAAATAATATAAAAGGGAAAGTAAATCGATAAAAATTAAAAATATTAAAAAAATTGAAAATTTGAATCTAAAAATTAAATTAAAAAATAGTAGGGGTGAGTAGTTTTTTATTTTAGAAAGTTAGATAAGTGGATAGGATAGGTATACTTCTTGGATAAAAATTAATGAAAAAAATCATTAAAAAATAAAATTGAAGTGGTAGAATTATCTTTAAAATGATAAATGAATAAATGGAGTTTAAAAATAAAAGGAGATAAGATACAACTTATTGAAAAGATATTCTCATAAAAATAGAAAAAAAATTCTACATTTTAAAAACATATCTTCTAAATATATTATTCTCAAGCTAGATTAAAAGTGATAAGAATCGAGTCAAAAACTTAGAAAGACTAACAAAAAAAAAAAAAAAACATAAAGAATAGATGACCAGAACAAATGATTGAAGAAATGAACATAATTTAAGTTTACTTATTTTTTTCAAATTAAGCAATAATTGTTCCTCCTTTTTTTATTTTATTTTTGTTAATGTTGTTAATTTAATGAATGCATTATATTTATATTAATTTTCTCGCGAGCACATGTATTTCTTCTCTCACCCATAAGCATAGTTTTTTATTTGAAAAGTTTTGAAACAAAGGAATATTTTTTTAGTTGATTGCTACCACATTCACTGAATTTGAAGGGTTTTAATGTCAATCATACATGACTTAATAAAAATTAGACGTGTATTAATTTTTGTCATGTAATTAATGATATATTTGTTGAGATTTGATGATATACATTTTCTCTTAATTGTTGTAATTAGAAAAATAATCTTAGGAAAGTTATTTCAAAATTTACTAAAATTCAATGTTAAATATTAATTAGAAGTGAAAAATTAATTATATTTTTACTTTATAAATTTTGTTTCTTGACATCTTTTATCATAAAAAAAAAGTGACAAAGTAGTTGAAAAAGGCTATCGTTGATAGACAGTCATGACTCATTTGTTTATATTGAACATGATATACTAAATTTTGTAAAATAGGTCGGCATGTTAGTGTGTTTTGTAAAGTTGCCTTGTGGTACATTAATTATAATCTATGTTAAAATTTAAGATTTGACACTGCTATTTGTTTGTTTGTTACAACTATTTTTAAAATAAGGATTCTACGTTTTCAAAGTAAAGTAAAGAAAATTGAATCTTGTAATATATGCAATTAGACATCAAAAGGTAAATTTTTGAATGATAGGAAAAGATATTTTAATTTGTTTAAAAGAATTGATTTTGAATTTTAAAAAGAAAAATATTTCTTTGAGAATATTTATTTTAAATGATAAAAAATATTTTAATCTTTTTAGAAAAGAATTGGATTTGAATCATGAAGTTTTTATTTATTTATTTAGAAGGATTTAATTCAAATTAGAAAGAAAATATTTTGAAATCTTTAAAAAGATTGGTTTTGAATTTTGGAAAGAGGATTTTTAAATTTATAAAAAAGTTTGTTTTATCTTTGATAAGAAATTTTTGTTATTTGCCATAATATTATAAAAAGGAGAATGTTTTTAATTTTTAAGAAGGATTGTTGTTAAATAAAAATAATTACAAAAAATATTTATTCTAAAATTTGTAAAGAAAATTATCTTTTCTGTTTAGAAATAAACCTAAGTATGTTTAAGGCAAAATTAGTATTTTTGTTTTTCAACTTATAAGAGTCAAATTTGATTTTGTCCTTCAACTATATTTTGATTATTTTGGTCCTTTAACTTTTAAAAAATTTTAAATAAATTTTTTTGATTAAAAATATTAACCTGTTAATACTTTTTATCTTTTCACTGTCACGTGTATTATTTGTATATTATTCATGATTTTCTTTCTTAAGGCTTTAGTTTCATTTTTCTCTTTCATTTTATTTCT